AGAGGCGCGACGTCATGGGACACGCCTCGTACGACCTGTGCCGTGCGTCGTGTACGACCAAAATACGACGTAGACACGACGTCGCATGAGACACGACGTCATGGGAACGCCTCGCACGACCTGTATACCATCTAGGATGCCACCTCCATGCCGGGTTTGTCGCACATTGTGAAACAACTGATCTGATAGATCTGATACACTGGCTGTGAATAATGACATCAGGGTAGGTAAATCAACTTAGTCAGTGCTTCTTATCCGGAACATTGTTTTATTTTAAATCTTATTGGTTTATTACAACTTCACAAGACAGTATTTATTTACACTTGTTATTCTCTTAATTTCTACAATGAAACACAGTTTTTTCTTTTATAAAACCAGTATCACAATGTGTTATGTTGAATAAAGAATATCTCCTCTGCATCATTCATTAATCATGAAATGACAAAGTTTTTGGTCCGTATTTGATATATATTCGAATATATCACGCATTTAACAATTTTTACTAATGCCAAAAAGCTAATGCGAAAAGCTTCTCAAAGAAGAAAAATGCATTGGGGAGCACAGTGTACTTTTGGTACTTGTTTTTCTAGAAAATGTTTCAGAAATTACACAATGTTTGGTTTCCAGTGTGCTTTGCACATGTAGTCTATGCTCGAGTCTACGGTCCATCAGCAGAAATAAAAATGCTGTATCAGCCTGCATTTGACTAACTTTACAATTTTCTGGAATGTCCTTTAAAAAAATCTGCACTTTACAAATGATATGTGAAACATGTAAACTATTTAGAAATTGTTAAATACTTCTTTAAAATCAGAATTTGCATGCATGAAGTGAAATACACAAAAGTACACCTATTAAAAATCTGTTGTTGTGTGTTCTTAAAAATTATTTTCAAACATTTTCACTAAATAAGAAAACTGTTAGAATGCTGTAGATGAAACATCAAAACCTCAGTACATTTCATTCCTGCTATTTTCACCTTCTCTCATGGAACACTACCCAAACAAATATGTTACTAATTTAATTCAAAAAGGATATTTGAAAATACTAGAACCATGACACACAGGACACTTTTCTATTTCTTAATGTTATATTAAAAATAAAACATTTCCAAAGTATCAAAGCAGTTCTTACACTAGTGATCTGTACATGAGTGACTGGTGGTTCCTCCACCTACTCTAGTGGTGTCACCAGGTGAGTGAGGTGGTCTTCCCCGCTCACGACACGGTAGTTCTGTGCACGCGGTGCAAGATCCTGATCCTGGCGATGCCCTTGGTCGTCGTCTCCGGCCGGTCCTCGGCACACTTGCTGCACTCGCACTTGGTGATCCACTGCACGGCGAACACGGCTGTGCTCCGGGGGTGCTGCTGCGGGTGCTGCTTGTGGTGCTTCCGAGGCGCGCTAAACACGCTCCACAGGCGGCCCTGCCGGCCCTTGGAGAAGCGGTGTCCCTCCTCGTTCTCGCCCTCCACGTCATCCTCTTCGTCAGGGTCCTGATCCACCTCCGCGTCCTGGTCCCCGTCGTCCTCGTCGTCGTCCTGCAACATACACACGCGTCGGCGGTAAGTGCGGGGCGCCCCGCTCCTCGCTCCCCACCGCACGTCAAAGAAGTGCCACACACCGGATCGACCAGGTTGTCGCGGGGGTCCGCGGCGAGCAGCACGCTGCTGGTCGGGAAGGGCGTCGTCGTGGCGAAGTCATCCTCCCACATGTCGGCACCCAGCACGGCGACGGCTGCCGCGTCAGCCGGAGGGTCACCGTCACACTCGAACTCGACCTGCGCAGCAAAACAGTCCAGCTGACGCTCGCTAGCCCGTCCCTCAAGCTCAGCTCCGCTCAGCTCCGCTCAGCTCCGCTCAGCTCCGCTCAGCTCGTCCGAGTGTCGCCGACGCCCACCTTGATGGAGGACGACAGGCGCGGCGCGCAGCACAGTCCTCGCGCCGCACACGCGCCACAGTGCTTGGGGCGGTAGTGCCGCTTGGAGCGGCAGCGGCCCAGCCTGAGGCGCACCGGCCGCGGCGCGCGCAGGGTCGCCTTGCACTCGTGGCCTCGCTGCAACACAACCCCGAGCCCGTGGGTCACCACTCATCCGCATCCGTAGGGATTTTAAAGAGACAACTTTTTCCGGAAAAAAATTAAGTTCTCGAAAAAAATAATAAAAAAAATTCCGACAGTACGTCTCTAGAAAATTCCAATCCCTACTCACCCGTATCTTGGCTCTTGGCGGGCGCCGCTCCCCGGGCGGCGTGATGCACGGCCTCAGCTGGCAGGGCCGGGTCTGGTTGAGCGGCACGCAGCTCGGGTTCTGGTTGGTCACGCGCACCGACAGCCCCGTGCCGCAGGTGCGCGAGCACGGCGACCACGCCGACGACAGGTGCGGGCACTGGGGCGGCCGCTCGGCAGCGTCGCTGTCGCACATCCACTCGCGGCAGCACTGGCCGGGCAGCTCGACGAGGCGCGGGTGCGGGCACGAGAAGCCGCGGGGGGACATGCCCTCCTGCGGGCACAGGCTGGCGCACGCGTACGTGCCGTTCTGGAACAGAGATTTATATTTAATGCTACAAGCTGGTCATATTGTCAGTTGGCGCCAAATGTTCTTCCTTAATTTGTTTACCTGTCGACTTATTGAAAGTGTCATGTCTTCAGTCTTCAGTGGAAACTTGTACTGTACTGTCGTTGTCAGTCGTTGTTTAAAAGTCGTTGAAGTCACTTATTGAGTCTTTGATTAAACCCGGACCGGACACGCCCCATACCTTAAATCTCCAGAGAGGAGAAGGGAGAGGTGCTTCAGGACCGGGCCTCGCCTCACAGCCTCCGCCATGGACCAAATGGCTTTGGGTTCCCATTTGTCTCGGTACCCCGGATGTTTATTAGCAGCGGGGCTCGTGAGGCAGGGCGGGAAGGGGGAGGGGGGAATGGATAGAGAGTCCGTCAGACTGATGGGGGAGAGGCAAGAGGTCAACACACGGCGTGTTCTGCCTCGGCGGTGGTGCGTGGTGGTGGGTGGTCGAGGCCAGCGCCTGCTCTGGGGGTGGTTTTAAGTTGTACTCCCTGACAGAGAGGAGGCCCGAACGCACACGACACATGTTATCCGCGGCTGTGGTAGTCGGAAACAACAACATTTGCGCCGCATGGACCAGACCACCTCCCCGCCGTGGCTCACCATCCCCAGCCTCTCTGGTCCGCGGGAGGATGAGATCCTCATCTCCGCGGTAGTTAATCATCCCGATATTTGCATTTGGCTCACGCGACCGCCCGCCTCGCCTCGTGGACGAGATCATACCGGACGCCGACCCCTCCATTTCTGAAAACCCAGACACCAGGGCAGAGGGCAACAGAAGACAAACAGGAAAAAAAATATCAAGGGGGATGAGCCGGTGGCGGGGGAAGGACGTTGGGGCGCTCTTTGGCTCTCCAGAAGAAGTTGAACTAACTGCCATGTCCAGGATACAGCCGAGTGTTTTCGGATGGAAATGTCATCAATTCGCTGAAAGCAAGGCGACGGAGGACGCCGCCGGTCTGGGAGGGAGAGAAAGAGAAGAGAAAAATAAAGAGAGGGGGGGGGGAGTTGGGGGAGAATGAGGGTGACAACCAACCCGCCGCCGCCACCCCCTCGTCGGGCTCCTTATGAAATGGAATTAGGAGTCTCTCTTTCATGACTCTAGGGCCTCTTGCGCCATCTGCCGCGGCCGGGACCGAGACCCGCGTCGCCGACAGCAGGACAGTGTCCTCGGGACAGCCCTCCTGGCCGTCGGGATAAATAGAATATATCAGCGTGTCCGCCAGTGTTGCTCAGTTTACATAAGGCACGCGTGCCTTGACGTGGGTCCCGGGTGGGGGTGTGGCAGGGCCATTAGCGCGTGTGTGAGCGTCGCGTGGCGTGGCGTGGCGTGGCGTGGCGTGGCGGGGCGGGCAGAGTGGCACACCCGGGACACTCGGGCATCGACTGCCGGGGGCCGCGAGTTCCAACAACTCTTGCGGGACCTCGAGCGGGACGCTAATAGACCCTCACTCTCCGCCACGAGGATGTACCTTCCCCCTTCCCCGTATTTAAAGTGCGCGACATGAGAGTCGCATGAAAAAACAAACTGAAGAAAAAGAAGGTCCTACACAAATGGCACTTACAAGAGACTAGTAGCGTGTAAGGGATCGTACAGAAAGTAAGTCCGTTTTTCTCAGATTTATTTCGGCAAGTTCCGAGGCTTGGCGCCTGCGAGGCTCACGGTAGGCCAACCCGCAGTACCCGTATGCATCGCAGACAAGATATTGCCTACCCACCAGGCGCTATCAGAGTTTGCGGAGGCTGAACTTTGCGGGTTCGTAACGGCGAATGACGGGCGTTCTTCCCTCACACGGTTATCACACACCTTGTTCTATACCCTGGACAACGATTCAGAAGAGTTACTTGTACGGGGAGTTTCAGGCAGCGCCTAGCAACGAGAGAGCATCGGATGCTCCTGGTTTAGCCAGCCATGTCATACGCACTTGTCAATCATGTCACTCACCTGGCAGGTGCACTGCGTGCGGCAGTCCAGCATGAAGGTCTCGCCGTTGTCGTAAGTGTCGCTCTCCACGTAGCAGGGACGGCCCTTGATGGCTGCAACAACAGAGAGGAACGGGTTACTGACGGCCGACGCAACACCGAGCACCACCGTCAATAAAGGGGTGAGCGAGGGGGGGCTGACACGAAGAAGGCGGTCCCTCCTCAGCATCGCGCCGGACGGGGCGGCGGCGGGGCGGGCTTCCCTTGAAGTTAGCAAACTGCTGCCTTCCCTTCCACCTTGGTTAAAGCGCGTCTCTTTCAACCCAGCCCCTCCCTTATCTCCCCCTTCCGCCCCCGCCGCAGGTTTACCTCCTAACTTTGAGACTGGTCCGTTCCGGTCCAGTAGGCATGCCTGTGCATGGAGCCTGGGCGGGCCGGGCGGGCTGACCCCCCCAACCGGGGCGGGGTGCGCGGGGGAGCGGGGTGGTACTTCATTGTCATGGGGGTCTTTCAGCGCCCCGCCGCCAGGGGGAAGGCAAATACCACCCCTTTCCGCCCACCCCTCCCGTCTCCCTGCCGTCCCGCTTTCCGATGAGCCTTTAGGATGTGATGTGATGTGCTCGCTCGCTCTCTCTCTCCCTCTCTGTGGTGGTGATCAGGGCGTTGATTCATGGCTCGTCACAGGCGGCCATGGTGTGCCATAGGGGCCCTGAGGGACGCCCCCCACTCCCCACACCCCCAGCCCCACGGGTCCACGGTCCCTTATCACCTATT